CTAAAATGTCATTTATTTGGATATAAGAAGCATTTTTCTATGATTTTCTTTCCATTTTTGTCTATCACTAGAAGTCCACTTTGAAAAGCCATCATATTAGGACCACTCAGAATTCAGGGTTTTATTAGTCTTGAACCTGGAGAACGGAAGCTTCAGGTTCTCATGATTCTAGTCTTTCAAGATTCAGTCTCGGGAAAGGGCAATCAGTAATCTAACTAAATTCAAAAATGGGGTCTTTAATGTATTAGATTTATTTTTAGGCTTAATGTTTAATTTATCATAAAACCACCAACCAATATATTCAAAACATTATTTTGGTTATAGTAGGATTTACATTATTATGTGATAATAATTTAACCAATTTCCAAATGTTTTTTACTTTCTAGCATATCACAGAAATGATTAATGATAGCCAAGTATCACCAAAGCTAGTGACATTTTAACAAGGGAAAGATAATGTTTATTACAAATCAGTACCTTTGTGATTCCCTTGCATGTAAAATAGTGCATAAAGAGCATTTTTATGCATCATATATATACATATATAAAATTTAAACTGAATATGCAGAACATCTGAAGATCTTTTTGTCCCTCTTAACTCCCTACCATCCTCTTTCTCATAAGCACATAATGTTAATATTTTATTTTATATTTTCTGTGGCAAACATTTTTAATGTTGATATATTTAATCTGTAAATTTTACATCTTCCTATGCCATTTCCCACTGGTTACTGAATGGACATGCTACAGTTACTCTAAATTGTGACAGTCATAGGAGGCATACTTAAATAGCCAAGGGACATTATCCTGTGGAAAATTGCCAGGCAACAAGTATTCATAGCTTTTATTAAAAAAGAGAAACAAGCTAGTGCAATTTTAAAAATAAGTGATCCATTAAAAAGTCTCACATTGACCATTACATAAAGATAAAATTCTGACTTTATAATAGTTTGTCAGTTTTATAAAAATAATTTGTAAATATAGTAAATTTTGTAGCAGATACCTGGCATCTGATTGCTGAAAGTATTTAGGCAAGAAAAATAATTATATACAAGTGTAAGGGCTGGAGGGTTCGCATAGTGGTAGAGCGCTTGCCTTACATGAATGAGGCTCATCTCCAAGACCACAAGTTTGAGCCAAAGTTCAGTCAGTGTTGGCCATGGCCAGGAATAGTGTTTCATGCTTTTAGTACAAACACTTGGGAGGCAGAGGCAGATGGATCTCTGTGAGTTCCAAGCCAGCTTCATGTAAGTTGAGCTCCGGGTTAGCTACATAGCTATTCCTGGTCATGGCCAACACTGACTGAACTTTGGCTCAAACTTGTGGTCTTGGAGATGAGCCTCATTCATGTAAGGCAAGCGCTCTACCACTATGCGAACCCTCCAGCCCTTACACTTGTATATAATTATTTTTCTTGCCTAAATACTTTCAGCAATCAGATGCCAGGTATCTGCTACAAAATTTACTATATTTACAAATTATTTTTATAAAACTGACAATATATATTATATATAATATATATATAATATATATATATGAAGAAGAAAGTAGGTTTGTTTATGCAACATGGTGGCTCAATCTAAATTATTTAGCTTGAGCAAGAGGGAAGGCTTTGGGGGGTTGAAATGATTAGCAAACACTTTGGTAAACAAGCCTTGCTGGGGTAGACTTCACGATGTGCTACATTTTGTAGGTGCTTAAGACTCGGGTAAAAATGCCCCAAAGGCCAAGAGCTCGAGTAAATTGGCTGGTACAAAGGACACCCACCTTGTTTACTACTAGAAAGAATGGTGGGGGTGGGTGAAGCATTAGACAGATGAGCCTCACTTAGGCAATGGGAAAGAGCAAATCAGAGTTTGAACAGGTTGGGGGCTAAGGAGAAAAAGACTGACTAAAGCAGAAAAGAGCCGACAAACCCTGGAGTTGGCCACACATTTCACTGACTGCTAAGCACTTTTCACCTTGTCTCCAGTTTGAAATTTACCTCCCAGAGCTCATTATGACCATTTGTTTCAACTTACTGGCCGTGGGCAGTGTGTTCTCTCAACAAGTACAAACTTTGCCTTTGCATTTGTTACAGTGTAACAGTCTCCACGAGGGTTCAGAACCCGATACTTCTTCAACAAAAGCCTTCTTCAAAACACCTCAGTTTTCAACAGAGCCTCCCCATCCCCACTCCGCACCACCGCCTGCGCTGTATTATTAAATATAAACTTCACCATTCATATAATACATGCAACTTTGATTTGCAGATACGTACGCATCTGTTTTCTCAATCCTACAGAGCTATAAAAATCCTTAAGGGCATGATGGAGGAAGGTCATTGGCCAATAAAGAAACTGCTTGGCCCTGTGGGTGGAGTAAAAAGAACAAAATGCCGGGAGGAAGAGGAAGTGAGCTCAGAGACTCCACAGCTCTGCTCTCCTCCTGGGAGCAGACGCCTCAGAGAGACGCCATGCCCAGCTCCCGGGATGAAGCTCCGACCCAGGATGGACTAGGCTAGAATCTCCCCGGTAAGCGCACCTTGGGGTGCTACACACAGATGATTAGAAATGGGCTAAATTAATATGTGAGAATTAGCCTAGAAGAGATTGGGCCAAGCAGTGTTTAAAAGAATACAGTGTCCATGTAATTATTTTGGGTAAAGCTAGCCGTAGGGGCGGCTGGGTGCTGGGGATGCAGCCCTGCCGTCCCTATTACTACAAGGGCAGAAACTCTGCACGGCAACTTTGCATGCCACAGGGGTTTGCATTTTTATAAACTACTCTACAAAAACAAAAATCCTACCCACAAAATAATGGTAAATATGCATTTGTTGAATGAATGCATTCCAGCGCTAACACGTTTTCATTCTCTTCATTTTTCCCTTATCCTTATGAGACAATTCATATATTGAAACCAATTTTCTCTTAGAAAAATTAAATTACTGAAACACACCTAGGTTCCTCCAACAATGCAGGTAACTCAGAAACCCATCCAGAGCCTGGTCAGAGGACACATATCTGCAGGCGAAGGAAGCGCATTTAAATGCGCCTGTCTGATTTGTCTAGTTGACTGAGAATGCAATGGAAGGTGGGAGCCAAGGTTCAGTAGGTCCTAGTGTTAAGTGGTTTGTTTAACTCCAAACGCCAAATGCTAGGGAAGAAGAGGCAAAACTCAAAATGAAAGGCTCCGTCAGGGTGCAGTTTAAACAGATCATAGAGCAGTCCTGCTGGTCTGGTTTTCTTTGGTTTTTTACTTGGTTGGTTGGTGGCAGAATGTTTATGGAGCCTAGAATGGCTTGAATCTCAGTATTTCACTGCTACATTGCCACCACCAACCCTGGCTAGAATTCTTTTAAATGGACAGTCTGTTCTTGCTTTATGCATATTAATGATATATTTTTATATTAATTTATTTTATGTTAATAAAATATACTTGCATATAAATAAAATATATCGTTTATTTCTTTTTATATTATGTGCATTGGTGCTTTGCCTGCATGTATGTCTGTGTGAGGGTGTCAGATCTTGGAGTTACAGACAGTTGTGAGCTGCCTTGTGAGTGCTGGGAACTGAATCCCTGTCCTTTGGAAAAACAGCCAGGGGCTCTTAACTGCTGAGCCATCTCTCGAGCCCCAGTCTGTTTTTTTCTTTAACCTAGGAGAGCATAAATAGAATTGGAGGTATCACCAGGTAATAACTAGACCGAGTTTCACTAGAAAGCTCTGGCTCACTTGCTTTGTAGACCAGGCTGGCCTTGACCTCACAGAGATTTGCCTGCTTCTGTCTTCCCAGTGCTGGGATTAAAGGCTAGCGCCACCAGGCCAGGGTCTAAATTCTTAAGTAACTGTTTAAAAGGTTAATTTTCTTTCCTGATTAGCCTTTAAGTTTAGGGAATGTAGACTGTTGTTGAAGCACATTTAAATACAAATAGCTCTTTCAACAACAGCAAGGCAAACGTCACAAAAAAAAAAAAAAAAGCTGCGGAGACGAGACCTGCCTGCTTACTTCCAGTAACAATTAGCTGCCCTCAGCACTCTGTTTTAGCCAGAATTATTTCTAGGCATTATATTCTTTACTTTCTCCAAACGTTTAAGGTCTCAGACTCTGACACCAGAAGACAAATGGAAGATTCTCAAGACAGTAAACTACCATTTAAACACTGCCTGAGACTAGAATATGTTTAGGCGGCACTTCTGTGAGCAAAGTCAAATCAAAGTAAGGCGACACCTCAAGTTTCAGAAATGAAGATAAGGAATGGTTTTGTTTTGCTTTGTATATAATCTTAAATATCACTTTTGAATTAAAAAAAACCATTAAAGCCAATGATTTCCCTTCGGGTAGAAATCTGCTATTAAAGACTTCCCGCGTGGCCCCATTCAATTTTTGGTGGACTCCCTCCAGCCGGGGTAATGGTTCTTTTAGAAGGTAGGCGGCCTGCAGGAGCGTCCTGCTCGTCCAGGTCCCACATTTATTGCTACTCTCCACCTGCGGGAGGCGCGTAGCTCTGGCACCCTTCTAAAGCCGGGACCAGTTCAGCTTTGGCGGGAAGTTCTCACGACCAGAAGCGTTCCCACTCTTTTTTTTTCTTTTTCTGATCTCTAAACGGGTGCTCCTGTCACTTCAACCTCACCCTCTTGCCAACTGGGAAAGACCGGAGCTCTGGCTCAATCCAGTCTCAAAAGGGCCCGCCACCCCGCGCGAAGAAGGAAGGGGTGGGGGTTGGAGATCGTGGAAAAAAACAACTGTTTGAGCTTTTGCTCGTCGTTAAAACATAAAAGGGTGAAAAGGCAAAAAAAAAAAAACTGGATTTCCTGCTGGTCACGTTGGAGCACTAGGCGTCTGCTAAGTGCATGGACTCCGGCACCCCAGAGGCAGTCAAAGCCAGCAGCGTACGAGGGCTTCGGGCAAGTTCGCGAGCCACGCCTTCCGAACCGGCCACCTCCTCTGATTGGCCTGACAGTCTGTCACTCCAACCTGGCTCCCACTTCGGCTAGCCATTCACGTAGTTTGGTTGCGTCTTGGCGTGTTTAATGTTGCCAATAACGAGAGATTTTTTTTAGGGGGAGGGGGGACGCGAGAACATATCGTGCTGCAATTAGTTCATTGAAAACTCAGTCGCTCGCGAAGCGGTCAGACGGAGACTGCTCTCGGCATTTTTCCCTCCTGCCTAAGGATCTCCTGCGGAGAGCTGCAACAATGCCCAAAAGAAAGGTAAGTGAAATGGGAAGATAGACGGGAGATTAGCTGCCGAAATACATATTTCCTACGGCAGAGATTTCTATCTTTTTGAAAGAGCATTTTGGCTTCTAGTTCGATTTTGTGATGTTCTGAATGGAAGGCGAGGGAAAGGTAGCGAGCCGTCTGTGTTTGGTTTCGAAAGGTCTCGTGTGCAACTGGTAGTTCACTTTTGGCTTGTTTTGTTTAAGGGAGAGAATCGTTTGAGAGGTGTCTCCATGCTGAATTACAAACAGCCATAGCGCTGTGCTGTCGCTTCCTACCCCACCCCCCTTCCTCCGCTTACCCTATTGGAGAACTCTTCTCCCAACCATACTTCCAGCGCCAGCTTCCTCCTCTACCTCCAGTTTTTCTCCGGGAATCGTCTAGTTTGGGAGAATGAAAGCCCCAGCTTTCTCTTGGTTTTTTTTTTTTTTTTTTTTTTTTGCCTTTGTTCTTTCCGTTTTCTTTTTTCCTTTTTTCCCCCTCTTCCCTCCTCCACTTCTTGTCATGCCAGATGGCTATGCAATGGTAATACTGTGCCATTAGGCGGCGCAGACTTCAAACTGTCCTAGAGAAGGGAGAGATTCACCGCTGTAATTAGAAACTTTAGATCTGAAAGATTTGGCACTCTCGGAACTCTCTAGTTAAAGGTGGAAAGGTGATTAGAGAGCCGCGTCCGAGAAACTACAGCCAGCGTTGGATGGTGGGGCGCCGTGAGATTTGTTCACTTTAGACATTGGGGAGTTGATCTGAGCTACCAAGGGCTACAGGTCTCCTGTAAACCTCACTTCAAAATTCCTGTCTCCGCATAGATAGGAAATAAGTTGACGCTCAGTGTTTGTGTTTCCTTTTTTTCCTCCCGAGTCTCTTACAAGTAAAATGGAGTGCTGTTTCATTGCTTGGTGAAATCGTAAAACACTGTGTTAATGTAAAAGCCTTATAATTGTTCTTATCTTCTGGTGAATCCGTCCGCCTTCCGTATTCCATAGAACATAGAAATGAGGCTGAATTCCTCAGTGCTATGGGCTGTATGAATCGGTGAAATAATAGCCTGGTAATTCCCAGGGTAAAGGGCTACTCCGATACCGAAAGCAATTGTTTCTAATCACCACCCCCTTCGCCGAGGCTCTCGCCGGGTTCTTTTAGGCTTGTGCAATGGATCTTGCTTTTTTGCAGAGCTGACAGCAACCTTGTAGCAGGTAGTGGCGGGAAGTTTTAAAATCCTCCTCCGCCTGCTTCTCCGAATAAAACGTTGACGTTAGAACAAAGACATTCTTTCTTGAAAGTATGGTGGTGGTGTTGTTTCGTATGCAGGATTTGGGGAGGAAAGTAGTCCATAATCAACAGAGCAGGTCAGATAGATACAATTGCACTGCAAACAGAAGGCAAGAGAGGGAAATTGCAAGAAGCTCCGCCTTCGTTCGTCCCGCCCCAACCCTTGTGTTTTGGCTTTAACATTTAGAGCAGGTGGATTTCAAAATGAAAATGGCTTTTTTTTTACGAGACCTTATTTACACAAAAAGGTTACGCTGACTCTTTGTAAAAGGGTCTTGAGTATGAACTTGCAACTTGGTGCACGTTTCTTGTTACCAAAACAGCAGATGTGGAATTGCTAGCTGCTAGAAAACAACACGTGGCTGCTGGAGCGGGAACCCAGGAAAAAAGTAACAAGTGGCTAAAGTCGTAATTCTAATCCATCGGCTATATGTTTTGATCTAAGTGTTTATATTGATTACCCTATATCTTTTTTTTTTTATTTTTCTCCCTCTACATAGGCTGCAAGCGATGCCAGTCAGGAGGTGAGTGTCCTTAGTTTGTGAGTTTCTCTGAAAAGAAACAGCACCCATTGTAGAAACTAAAGACATATAATTATGTAAAATTTAATGTTGGTGGTTATATTTGTATCAAATGAGTACTAATGTTGTGTGTGCCAATGCTCTCTTAAAAGTACATTAATAAAAATGACAGACTTTCTGGAATCTAGGGTCTTACTGTGCTTGTTATGATATAAGATGCAGAGAGCACCTTCTTAGGCTTAAATTCTGTTTGGTCAGTTGGCGAGCAGAAAGGTATGTTCATTTTAAAACGTGCCCCTCACTCAATAACAGCAACTTCGCTGATTTAGTTCAGTGAAAGAAGCTTGTCATGGATTTTATTCTCTTTACCATTGGAAGGGGCCCCAGGGGGTCAGAGGTATCTACTGATAGTTCTTAACCAAATTTATAATCACTTCCTTACTACCAACATTTATACAGTGTTACGCCAAATATTTTCTCAATAAAAATAATTCCAGATTTGTACATTCATAATTCTTTTGACTGTTTTTTTTTTTCCATTTCCAGCCAAAGAGAAGATCAGCCCGACTGTCTGCTGTAAGTGGTCTTTGTAAAATGTTGCCCAAGTATCATGTAATGGAGGTTTTAGAATCAGGGAATTCTACATAATATTATGTTTAATTCAAGGCTTATTTGGAATGGTTATTTGAGAAACTTTATGAATTAAAGAAAAGGGGTTTTTTTTTTGTCCCTAGTACTTAGTTTAAATCATGCTCATAGATTTCATTGCTAGTGCTTTCTTCAAATATGATTTCTTTCTCTTTTCTTATATAATGGTGTTTTCTGATGCAGATGCCTGTGCCCTTCATACCAGAGTTGAAACCGAGAAGAGCATCAACTCCAAGGGTAAATATTAAAATTCTGACATTGAAGAAAATGTGTTTTTTTTTTAAAGAAATAAATTGTAAACGCGCGCCCAATGAATCCTTTTGTTTTCTTCATAGTTTGCTTACCCAGAAATACAATGTACCGTACGTATAGCTCTACTGGGTGGTAAACATTCCTCAGTGTTTTGGGATTGGCAGCTGAGTCTTAGCATTTTTATTTGGTAGTTAGAACACAATATTGTAAATGTAAAATAGAAAATGTTGGTAGGTAGACGCATTAAATGTATATGCCTTTAAGATTTAGTCGCTAAAATACCAATATTCCTGGGAAAACAAAGGCCATAAACTATAGTAACCCAATAGTTCGTTATAATAATAGCAGCAACTAATATTTGATCCTACTTCAGGAAGTGCTTTAAATGGAGTCAGATGGTTTTATATAGACGCCCGTGCTTGGATGTTATACTTAATGACAGGCTGAAAGAGACATAAAATCAATATTAAGTTAACTTTTAATTGCTTTATTACACAATTTTCCCCTAACAATTGGTTGAATTACAGAAATCAGAAAAGATTAAAGCTATAAAGAATATTCGATGAGAGCCATCCTGTAAACACCACTCTTCTGTGGCTTCTGTTTCAGCACCTGTCCCCAGGTTTCTGCCCTGACTTCCCTAGACGATAGACTATAAATAAATCCTTCCCCCACAAAAAGAAAAACGCACCACAAGAATATTTGAATACTTACTTGGCAAGGGAGATGCCATGATCGCTAAGGTGGTTTGCCCAGGAAGGGGCTCATCATCGCACTCCTAATGTGTTGACCCCTGCCATTGCCGCCAGTCTGGGAAACGCGACTGCATATTTTGTGGTAGTGGGGCTACCGCGTTTGTGCGCTCTCTGCCCTGGACAATAAAAGAATTGTTGAGATCATCTAATCTTGCCATTTTCTGACTGAAGGCACAACCAACGATGATCGTTTTTGTAAGCTGTTTTGGGTATTTGTCATTTAAAAATTCTTAAGTGCTTTTTGATGATCAGTCAGCTTACACGTTGATGCCGTGCTCCCTAGCTGTTGAACTGTTCTGCGGATTGCACTGAGAGGGAGGAAGGGAAAAAAAGGATAGGAATAAATCGCGTTGGGTATAGTGTAATCACACACTTGAAAATTGTTTCTGTTTCTCAAATCTCTGTTTCTCATTGGTTAACAGAGTACTAGCTTTTCTGTATGGTGCGGCATATAATATCTAACATAGGCATTTTCTCAATTGACCCTTGTAACATGCCCCTGTGTAGTAGGAAGTGCTGTCTTTTCATAATATGAAAGCAGAGTCTGAAAGTCATACCTTTCCTCAAGAAAACATTAGATAACTGGAAGATCTCGGATTCAGGAAGATTTCTCTGGCATCTTAAATAAATGATCTTCCTGCTGTGTGTACACTTAAGCAAAGAACTTTCTCATAGCCAAATCAAAAAAAAAAAAGAGGTCAAGGAATTAGATCGCTTACACATATAGCGGTTAGAACAGCTGCATCCCATGATGGTCTCCTCTAGACGTGTTGAAGATGATATTCTCACTAACATGACATTTCTCTTAATTACTACCAATGGAGACTTTATAATCAACACAACCCTATTGCTAATGATTAGGCAAGACAGCAATAAACTGACTTTGGTATGAGACATTCAATTGATTGGTCTAACCTGATGCAGGGAATTGGACTTCGGTGAACACTAACTTTTATTTCTCATTGCAGTCAGCATAAAAGCAGATTTCTTTCATTTACATCAGGGTAACAATTTATTTTTAATACTGCTTTTGGGGTAACACTGAAAGACTCATGCATTCATTTTCTTTTTATGAGATTTATGTGTAGTATTCTAAAACTCTTTGTAAATTATTTTATCAGCCATAGTGTAACCTTGGTGGTTTAATTAACATGGCAGCTAAATTGTGTGTTTTTATGACTTTTGTGTTGCTGGATAGAAAATGAAGGCCACAAACGTTACAGTGGAAGAAAACAAGGATGCAGGTGCTGTGGCAGTTCCTGAAAGCAAGCCCCAGGATGTTCAGGAGGCGTGCAACATGGACAACTCTGAAAATGGAGAAGCCAAAGTTGTGCAGGTACCTTGAAAC